TTTTCATCTTGTTATCAACCTGCCACGGAGTCAATGAACTGTCCATATTGAGTATCCCTTATCTGAAATGCTACGGACCAAAAATATTTCAGATTTTAGATTCTTTAATCAAAATATCTTGGGAGGGGGCCCAAGTATAAACACAAGATTTACTTTGTTCCACATACACTGCATACATATAACCTGTAAAAAATTTCATATAATATTTTCAATAATTTTGTGTATGAAAATAGTTTCATAGTGTAGGGATTTTCCATCATGGCATCATGTTGGTGCTAAAACGTTTCAGATATTAGAGCATTTCAGACTTTGGATTTTCAGATTAGGAATGATCAAATTGTACTGGACATATCATTGTTTTCAATAAATACACAAAACCTTATTTTTGCTAATAAAATAAATATAGTCTGACAGGCTTTAATTTGTAAAGTTGTTGCCTTACTCTACAACAAAAACATCACTGTGGTACAGCAATCAAACGTGAAGAGGAATCAATAAAAAATTGAGAAAAAAAATCATTCTACCTCACCCTTCTCTGTCCTTCCTCTCTGAGGGCAGGAGGGGTGAGAAGAAGTAACTTTTCTGGTACTGATAGTGGCAGAATATCATCAAAGTAAGAAATACTCCTCCAAATGCACTATAGCTTATGGTCTTTAACTCTAATATACGGCAGTAAAATGTTTGAGTTTCCTTAGATATATTAGAGAAAAATGGCACAAGACCAACTTTTAGAAATAAACTGAAATTTTAGCAAATCTTACAGAAGGATTGATCACAATAAAAGCAAAAATGCCATTACCATTAAAATCTAGTATTTAACCTTGAATCCATCTAACTTCAAAATTAGTTAGGTTTCACATTCATTATACTGACATCCAACAATCCAATAATATGCTATTTTAACACACACACACACACACACACACACACACACTTGTAAGGCTTATCGGGATATTTCAAATAGTCAAAGTATAATCAGGAAAAAAAATCACATTGGCCTACAGAATAATTATTTTAAAACACAGTTGATTAAAACTAAACTTTAGATAGAGCATTAATCTCTCGGATATATTAAAAAAAAAACCTCAGAAAACTTAACAAAAAAATAACCCAATCAATAACTAGGCTAAGGAACTGAACAGAACTTCACGGAAGAAATATGATCAATCAACAAGTATATGAAGAAATGTTCAACATCTCTAGCAATTAGAGAAATGCAAATCAAAACTACACTGAGATTTCATCTCACTCCAATCAGAATGCCAGCTATTAAGAATAGAAACAACAATAAGTGTTGGTGAGGATGTGGGAGAAAAGGCACACTCATACATTGCTAGTGGGACTGCAAAATGGTGCAACCAATCTTGAAAGCAGTGTAGAGATTCCTTAGAAAACTTGGAATAGAACCACCATTTAACCCAGCTATCTCACTCCTCGGTCTATACTCAAAGGACTTAAAATCAACATACTGCAGTGACATGACCACATCAATGTTTACAGCAGCTCAACTCACAATAGCTAAACTATTGAACCCACCTAGATGCCCTTCAACAGATGAACGGATAAAGAAAATGTGGTGTGTAAATACACAATGGAATATTACTCAACCTTAAAGAAGAATGAAGTTAAGGCATAATAGAATGAAATGGACTTATTATCCTATGTGCATATATGATTACATGACCAGTGTAACTTTACATCACATACAATCAGAAGAATGAGAAGTTATACTCCATTTATGTATGATGTGTCAGAATGCATTCTACTGTCATGTATTAGAAATTAAAAAGAAAATTACAAAACCCCTAAACTTTAGCAAAACATCCAGCTATTCTCCAGTTATAAATAAAAATAGTAACAGTTAAAAACAGTATGAAGAGAACTCTCCTGGAAATTACAACATTTTCCAAATTCACATTCTTAGTGCAATTTGTTTCCATTTTATATCTGTCATCTGATTTTTCTATAATAAAACATCACTCCATTCTTCTCATAATAGTTAATAAAATAAAGCTACAGAAAGAAAATGTGTTCTCAAAAGTTAAAGACTATTTGGGGTGGAGAAACATTTTTATACAGAGTTCCAGTGAAGTGACCTCTATTCGGTGAACAGGATAAAACTTATCAGTTAATATAAAATTTAAAGCATATTCTAAATTTCTAGTTGATTTGTTGAATATAAGCTTAATTCATAGAGATGCACTTATTTTAATATTCTGCAATGTCAAAAATGGGATTTAATCATTTTGTTTTCTAAAAAACTAAAGTCTTAATCATGGATTACATTATATTAGTTTATTTTTTAACTATCTTCTTAGAAATTTTTCCAGAGGAAAATTAATTCACTATAGTATTACATATTTTTCTTTGATATTTTTTGATAATGTATCTTGAATATATTTTCTTACTATAAAGCAAGTAAAATCCCTTTGCAATTACTACTGCCCCCAGAAAAATAGTTCCACAGGTTAGTGCATATGAGCAGGGTTCTACAGTGGAATTCACTGCTATAAAAATTCAACAGAAGAATGCTTCATTTTCTTAATACAGAGCCATACACTGTTGAGAAAACCAAAATGAAAAGAAAGTGAATTCATTCAAAAGAGCATTTATATAAGTTTCAAAAGGAACAAAAGACCACTAGCTGGAGATACATAAAATGCTTCTGGTACCCATTATTAACAAGGGAAATGAGATAGCAGATAGTTTAGAAGAATTCAAAGGAAATGATAATAAAAAAATATTACAGCGTTAGTATATTATGGCTAGTAAAAAAAATCAAACATTTTTAAATTTTAGAAATACATTTAAAAGAATAAATAAAATAAGAAAAAAGATTCTGTGCCTAGGATGACAAATTTGGGGCTTGAGTGTTAATGCCTGTCAGATATGACTAATTGATTATTGAGTCTTTGTAGCTGATTTTGGAATCTTTCTCAGCACATACCATGGAGAGCCACTACCAATCACTAAAAATTGGCATTAATACTGAAACCTATTTGTCAAACCTGCTCTCAGTGACATGGTTCAAGATGTTCAACTGGGAAACCTTCCCAGCTGATAAATGGCACAGGACTGTGCACAAGCTGCTAAGATATGTGATCAAGCAAAAACTGGCTTACAGAAATTTGTGAATGCATGAAAAAACCTTTTTAAAAAGCAAAACAGGAAAATAACACTATAGTGAATATTGTTATGATTGGAGACAGGGATAAATCTTTAAAAAACTAATTGCCACCTACAATCTAAAATGGTTTCAATTCTGATTTAAAAAGAAAGAAAGAAAGAACAGTCTCATCTATTTGTGAGGAAAGTAATCACTACAAGTAGTAAGAAATTACAACAATGATTCCTTCAATTGCCATGTACCAGAAAGTATTTTGTTGGCAATTGAAAATTTAACAGAATAATTTCAATAATTTGAGTATTATGGCTTAAAGTCATAAATGGCCTAACAGTCTAAAAAATTTGTGACAAAATGAATAAGTACAGTAAAGAATGTGATGAGATATTTGATATACAATATACCTCAACATCTTAGAAAAAAAATTGCAAAATTTCTATGAAAGAAAAAATATATTAACAAAAGTGTTTATTTCTAATGAAATCAATTAAAATGCAAATCTTATCTAAACTCAAATGCTTTTTAAGTCTTCAAAAATAAAATCTTAAGCCAGGTGTGGTGGCACATGCCTGTAACCCCAGCAGCTCAGGAGGCTGAGGCTGGAGGATCTCAAGTTCAAAGCCAGCCTCAGCAACTTAACAAGGCCCTAAGCAATTCAGTGAGACTGTCTCTAAACAAAATACAAAAAAAGTACTGGGGATGTGGCTCAGTGGTTAAGGACCAGTACCAAAAAAATAAAAATAAAAATAAAAATCTTATAATGTGATTTTGTTTATATTCATAGAAAGTAACAGACAATGTCCTATTATTAGTTGTATTAATTTCTAGAAAAATAGTATTCTTTGAAATATACTGTAAAATATAGTTGTTAAGTCATATTTGAAAAATATTTCATAATTTTAATTCCAGAATAAAAATGAATAGTAAACAAAGTGTTAGGTGAAAATTAAGTAAAAAAAAAATCCAATGAGATCAAATAAATGTACAAAGGTGAAGATTACTTTGTTTAGCTGTAATTACATATATGACACACACACACACACACACACACACACACACACCCACACCCACCCTCTCACTAAATGTCAAGCTAAAGGCTGCAATAATGAGAAACCTCAAAAGAAAGTATACTTTGATGATGAGACCAGCTTGGATAAAGTCTACAACAGCCTGGTCTGATAATGAACCCTAGGTCTTGTATTATGCAGTATAATGTACTGTTCTGGTGAATAAAAACTGCACCATTCCCCACTTCATTTAACTTATATATATGCTTAGTTATATTTAGGATATGACACAAATTCTGCAAAACAACTAAAGTTACATTGACCTTTGGCAGTAAAGAACACCATCAGCTGCAAGCAACCCAAACCACTATCTATAAAACAGCAGGTCAAACCACTACACATAAATAGAAAGTTTTCTAAAATCTCCTTTGAAATAACTCATATGCTAAAATTTTTTACTCTTGGTCAGACTCACTGTCATGAATTGTTCTACTCTGCTTTTCCATGATTTTGAAAAATGAGACAACACATGAAATAATTTTTTAAATCACAAGGCAATTATTTTAATTGTATAATTATAACATAATTTGAGTACATTCCATGTCACTATCATTCATGATTATTGTAATAAAAATTCTCATTAAGAGATAAATCATTGTCTAATTAGGTACTTACCTCAAGTGAGAGGGGAAATAAGTGCTTCTCTGAACTGTATCAACAACTAGCAAAGAATGCTTTCACACAGAATATAAAAACCAAGAAAACATGCTTTATGGAAAAAACTGTACTGCTTTATCATAGCAAATATATCAGTTTTCTAGCATTTTATTAATAAAAGTGGGAAGAGCTTTAAAAAATATTCTCCTTACCTGTGTATACAGTTTTTACTCTCGAGATATAACATACCAGCAGCAGCATCTAGGGAAAATTTCACCAACTGTTTGAGTTTTAGTTCATCCTTCTTCTTTCTCAGATAGGAGAGGAAGTCACCTCCTAGAATAAATGACAGAAGAACAGTGAAATAAAACTATGATTAAAGTCACATTTATACCCTATAAGTATATCTGATGGGAAAAAAAGAATTATACATTTGGAGATGATTTTGATCCCATTTGACCCTTATCAGCTTCTTGTAGGAAACAGGGAGAACAGAAAACATGAAAAGAACACATCCTGTTAGAAAGAAGATACCATTAACTTTTCTAGATACTTTAAGTGCTTCATACTGCATATTACTCAAGACATAATAATATTTAATCAAAACCACACTCATCCCTTTGTCACCATTTTCCCCAATTTGATTCACTAAATTTTCTAAGACATTCTATTTTCTATAATACAAAAGAATATAATAATTATGAGTTAATTGAATAGTAAGTGATATTGGATTAGTTATTAGATTCAGTAATTGATTAAAAAAATAAAACTATTTATACTACTTTATCTCTGTACTAGTCAAAAAGAAATATTCTCATGTTGATGATTTAGCCACTGACCTAGGATGTATTTTTGTTCAAATAAACTATGTCTTGAAAAAACTTAAGATATGATAGTTCAAAACAATTGTAACATGATACAAACTTACTGTTAAACAGTTCATAAAGTTTTTAAAAAGGTAAATTTTTGTATTTTATTTATACCAATAGATGCAAAATATTATATTAAGTTGTATCAATATCAAAATTACAGTTGAGATATTTAAATTTTTTATTATACTAAGTCTTGGAAGTACTACATGCTTATGGTACCTCTCAATTTATATGCAAATTTCCATCTGAAATATTTAATCTACATTTAGATTTCATAAAACTTGAGTTTAAAAAATAGATTCACAAACTCGAGTTGTTCCAAACATGTTTAACATTTTCAATAACTGATCCATTATCAATTTTCAAATTTAAAAAAATTAAAATTCAATGAAATTTAAAATTCAGTTTTAGAAGTACCAAACGCATTGCAAGAGCTACATATGACCAGAGATTATCATATTGAATAGTGTCACATTAAACTTTGCATTACTTCTTAATGTAGACTTAAATGTTATGGCTTGGTTATTTTTCTTTTTAGCTGATTAGTTTACATAGCGTATTGCTCTATATTTATAACGTTAAAGTATGTAAGAATTCATGTTCCCTAAAAGCAATCATTCACACTTTCCCTATGAGGCCCCTAAATATTAAACCAGAATTTTTAAAAAGGATCAGCATCTTAATTGCCATTTCCTGAACCTTTTTTTGCTCTCTTCACCAGGCATCTAGGCTTCCTTAAATAGAAAACTTCCTTAAATAGAAAAGCTCTAGAGGTAAAGACTTAAAGACTTTTTCTTTAAAAAGAGTACCTAGAAAATAAACACTTGTCTCTCTCCTTAAAATATTCTTTGTCTGCCAGGTGCAGAGGTACACGCCTGTAATCTCAGTGGTTCTGGAGGCTGAGACAGGAGAATCATGAGTTCAAAGCCAACCTCAGAAAAAGCTAGGCACTAAGCAACTCAGTGAGACCCTGTCTTTAAATAAAATACAAAATAGGGCTGGGGATGTGGCTTATTGGGTGAGTGCCCCCAAGTTCAATCCCCGGTAACAATATACATATATATATTTTCTTCTAACCTCTTCTCTTACAAATCAAGTGTAAAACAAATTTGGGTGGGTCATTTACAAACCAATATGCTTTTTACCTTAAAAATAAATTTAATGGCATCAATTTTCTATTTAAGAGCTTAACTTTAAAATCTGAACTCATCATTTCAACAGTAAACAACAAAAGTAAACACTAACTTCTCAAATTTCACAGGTACCAAAAATACCTGTTAACCTGGACTTGAAATCAGTATTTAGGTAAGATATTGTTTGGACCAATATTCATATATATATATATATATATATATATATATATATAATTTTTGTTTTTATTTTTTGCTCAATATATGTTCATCTGTTTTAGAGAAAGTATACCCTTGTGGTTTTGAAACCACATAGCATTCTACTTCAACTATGGAATTACTTTCAAATAAAAAGAACTCTTTTGCAATTTGATTTATAAGAAGCATGATATAACCCAGTATTCTGTGGAATCCAGGTATTATTTTTTCCCCAAGTTAGCTCATCTTCAGCACTTTTTCATTTGCCTCCTACCCTTTTAAAATTTACTTCTTCATGTAATTCTCTTTGCACTCCCCACTTACTACCCAAACTTATTGCACCTCCGTTGGTCAATATTTGTTAGTCAATGTTATTGAACTAATAAACTATTATTTAAAAATTATTTAATATCATTATTTGATAACACATGATATATTCATAAACAAAAACAAATAGCATTAAAGACTAGGTGAAAAGTAATGACAACTCATTAAGCACTAGAAAGTCAGGGCTACAGTTATTTCAAGATGTGTCTCAGCTAAAGATTCAGAAGGAATTTCTGATTGTCTTATCATTAGACCAACAATATTCCTGCCTTTGAACGAACTCTTGCTTAAAGTCTTTAAATACAGGACATACATTTTTAAATGTTTCCAGTTTCTAGTTAAGTCACAGGCAGGGTGATCTTAAGTACAGGAGCAGAGTCCCAAAGATGCCACAGGCCCAGTCAGCTTCTTGTAGAAAACTAGATGGAAGCCAGGACTTCAGTAAAAATTAAATAATTATGATTCAAGATGAAAGCCTGAGTCTTGTTCAAGTGCAAGCAGTAAGAATGCTGCAGCAAGAAGTAAATTATGGGACAAAACTTAAGATAAACAGAAAATAATTCAGATAGGCTGAAAATACTCCTCTAGGCACAATACTTGATAATCACCATCAAGTGAAGAAAAACGGATGTTATGGTCTTCACTATTTACCATGAGATTAGTTTAAAGGAAAGAATCCAGGTCTTTCAACCTGTTCTTTTTTCATTTTTACTAAGTGCCAAGTTAAAAACTTTAGAATTTTTGATACATATGAAACTCATACATGAGGCACATAAATATATGCACATATGTATACACAGGTATACATAGTATATGCACACACATATACTTACATGTCTGTATGTATAAGGCATAGAGTGCCCTAACTTGTCCACTGAAGTAAGGATTTTGTGCTCAAAGTAGGTAAAAGAAGGTAACTTCTCTTTTGTATTTCTGACTTAGCATGGTTTCTTTCTGTATGTGTGTGCTTAAACCAAGATAGCATGGTTATTTCCTAGAATTCTACAGCAATGATGAATTTCTAAGACAATACGTTTTTAGTAATCAACTTCTGGTTTACACTGGAGGCTCAGACTCAGAGTTTCACAGTAACGAGTCATGAGGAAAAGAGTCATGGTGAAGAGAGTCACGAAGTCAGACTCACTTGGGTCTGATTGACAGTGTGGCTTAGGGAAACTTGATTAATCTTTCTAAACTTCTACGAAACAGGGACTAAACACCACTTATTTCTTAAGATGGCTTTGAAACTAAAATGTGTCTACAGCATTAGGTATGTATCTAGCATGTAATATACTCTACTACTTATTACTGCTGGAGTTATTTCACATTAAAAATGAGGATGAGTTGTAGGAGGGATGGTTGCTTGCTGTACCTCATTTAGTTTCCCCTCAAATGCTATGATTTCCTTTAGAGAATTGCCCCACCCCCATTTTAGAAGGTATTAACCTCCCTCTGAACAAAGAGTGGTCCTAGATTGGCTTAACACAATCAACGAAGTCCATTCCTCTGTCTAAATGATTGGTTCAGGGAAAGACACATGGTTTAATACAGGACACAGACTCAAGGAGATGATTGAAGGGTGAATGAAACATTTTGAGAGGGATAAGAAGTGCAAGCAGAAGTGAATTAGACAGCACATTATAAGAACTGGCAGTCTTAAGATGAAAGCCTCTAAGAAACATCATAAGATGCTTTCATAGAAAGTAGAAAAGAATGAAGGAAAGAGGCTACCTTTACTAACATTGGAGCCTTTGGGTCACAGGCTCTCTGAAGCCTGACTTCCCTCTAAATTTTTCAATTAAATGAACCAATAAGATTTCTGGAATTTTTGAATATGTTTTCTGTACTAGCAACTCAAAGATAACTAATGGGTATACTATCTGTATCAGAAGGTTGCTTTGAGGATTTTTAAAAAGAGAATGCATATTAAATTTCTGGTACAGGTAGGGAATGCAATAAACACAACTGTTTATGATTGTTAGAAGCCAAATTTTAATAAGAGGATAGAAGGTTGGTATATTCAATAGCCCCCTCCTAAAGATTTCTATTACTCCATGCTATGAAAATTTGATCTTACCTGTTCTTTCAGTGTTAATGAGGCTCTGAGGAACTGATCATACTTAATATAAACTCAGATTATTATGTAAACAAGAATATTAATTTATTAGTTTATAATTGGAGAAAAGGGATCATCAGAGCAATACTATTAATAACTTCTTGTCATTGAGTCATGGAGAGATCTTAATTCATCTTCAAATAACTTCAAAGTTTATTAAATTAAGAGATACCAGTTCCCAGTGATGTATAAAATGTATAATTCATTACCCTTGTTTTTAGGATATTAATTTGCTCCCTGAGAAATTTGTTTGGTTTAGCTGTGTTCAATTATACATTTAAAAATAAGCTAGTACTGAAAGCAAATATTAAATGAGACAGCTATTTTGAGGCCTCCATTTAAGAAACTGTTCAGAATTCTTGTAAAAAGTTTTGTTCTTTAATCAGTAGTAGTAAGAATTCTGGCTGTTAGCCAGCCCATGGGAAACAAGGGGGAAATCCATATGGAAAGCTTAAACAATGAACATTGACTCGAATTGTACTCCATGAAACAGAATAGATTTTACACAATAGGATGCAAGCTCAAGCAAATTAATGAAGAAATGACCAATGAACACTGCAGTAGAGGATATTGGCTGCTACATGTCGGATGGCTAATGAGAGATGAATTGCACAGAAAGGAAGATTAGCCAGGGAAACGAATGCTCAAGCAAGGTTACAGGAAGAATTATCCATAGAAGTAGACTAGAACATT